CTAGCAATTGCTGAACCTGATCGTGATCGGGGGATTGATTTGACCTGTGTTGGCTTGTCCCAGGTCTCTGTTCCTGCCCTCCTGCTCTTGCTCAGATACTGTGGGATGGGTCCTGCACCCCATGGCATTCTCTTTTGGTTCTGTTTAGACAGATTTAGAAGACAAACCCCTGTGGCAGTCTCTGGGCTCCTGCAGACTAGAATCTGTCACCCTCTGCACCCAACAGCCCAGCCAGTGCTCACTGTTCTGCCAGTCCCTCTCCACCCAGATCCTATCCCTACATGGGCAACTTAGGAGATAATCTATTCAGTGAGGGAAAGTAGAGTGAGAAATCGAACATTACATTCAAGTGTTATTTTCTGATCTGATTTCAAAGGCCTCTGTCCTTCCTAACTTTTCAGCATTTAATTGCATTGATTGTGGCTCCTTTGTTGACCACAAGTAGAAGAAACTTTTCCCCCGACCTAAGTCACCATCAACAGGCTTACTTTGTAAGTGACTGTCGTGGTTTAAACCCAGTCAGGTAATTCGTTCGCTCACTTCCCCCCCTTTCTTGCCCTCCCCCTGCTCTCGGAGGGACGGAGAGGAGAATCAAAAGAATGCAACTCCCACGGGTTGAGATAAGAACAGTTTAGTAACTAAGGTATAACACAAATCACTACTGCTACCACCAATGATAATAATGATAAAGGAAATAACAAGGGAACAGAATACAACACCTCACCACCCGCTGACTGATAACTCGCCCCCCAAGCCCGACCAAGCTCCGACCGATACCTCCTCCAACCCTGCAGTCTCCCAGCCCTTCCGGCTAACTCCCAGTAACATCCTGGGCATGACGTGCTGTGGTATGGAATAGCTCTTTGGTCAGTTTGGGTCAGGTGTCCTGTCTCTGCTTCCTCCCAGCTTCCCCTCCTCCCTGGCAGAGCATGAGGCTCACAGCGTCCTTGGCCAAACCAAAACATCTCTATCAGCTCTGTTCCCGAGCCGAAAGTCAAAACACTGCACTGCACCAGCTACCAAGGAGGAGAAACATGACTGCTACTGCTGAACCCAGGACATTATCCACCCCTTATTCCATACCATTCACGTCATGCTCAGATCCCACATTTTCAATATACCATCACTCTTATCTCGGTGCACTCTTATCTTAGTGCATGGACCAGTCCCTATAAAGCTGCTGCGTCCATCTGGTCCATGTCAGGCTCCATCTCTTGTACCAGTCTCCCAGAGCAGGAGAGACTGTGTGCAGTGTTCACACTCGTGAATAACCTGGGCAATAGTGTCCATTGTTAAGTCCACCCCTCGATCATGAGTCCATCTCTGTGTTGCATCTCTGCTCTGATGGCCTGAAGTGCCATGGGCCCACCAGACTTAAAATAATTCACTGTCCCCTTAAGCAGTTTCTGCAGCTTGTTGCTGGGGACTCCATACAGCTGCCTTCCATCTCCGATGCTTCCAAAGCACTGGAGGGGCCCAGTGGACTAGATACTTGCCCATACTGTCCCACACACCCTGCCACTCATGACTCTCCAGCCTTGGGGAAAATCTCTTGGTCCCCCTATATTGTTGTCTAACCCCAGACAAGACCCAAACCTGACTCTGCTTAACTTTTGAGATCAGACAAAATGGTTGTGGGTAGAACACAGCCTGTGTGTGTGCCAACATGCTGATCCCCATCACAATCAGCAGGCAGGTCCCAAGGATACCCAAAGGCCATTCAGAGCCTTCAGAACTCTCAAACGATGCTGCTGTGCTTGTCACTGGGGCTGGTGTGGCTGCTGTGCTTGCCGGCTCTCCCACCACCAGCTTCTCTTTTCCTGAGTCCAGCTCTTCCTCCTCTGCCTTGCTGGGAAATGCTGCGTGGTCTCCTGCATCCTCCTGGGGCTCGGCGGGCGGCTGCCGGGGAATGCTCTCGGCCGTCGCGGGGCTGGGCTCCTCCGCGGGGCTCGGCTCCTCCGCGGGGCTCGGCTCTTCCGCGGGGCTCGGCTCTTCCGCGGGGCTCGGCTCCTCCGCCGCCTTATCCCGCTGCTCGGCAGCCGCTTCCTTCTGCTCCTCGCCCGCCCTGGCCTCCTCCACCGGCAGCCGTCCCCTGGCAGCCTCCGGCCCCGCTCCCGCCGCCGCTTGGTCCCCGGGGCCGCTCTCCCGGGCCGCTTCAGCAGCCGCCGGCTCCCGGGGCCGCTCCCCCTCGGCTCCCCGCAGCCTCACGAAGATGGAGAGTAGGGCGAGGGCCAGGATGGTGAAGAGCAGCCGGACGGCCAGGTACAAGTCCACGGCCACGTCCGTCCCGCCCTGCTGCTGGAGCCCACCCGTATTACAAGCCATTGCCATAAAGCACAGTGAGACAAGAACCTTAGCCCAGGCCCCACACTTGATAAACACTATCACAGCAAATACCGGCTCTATGTAAGTTACAACGGTCTGAAGCTGTGAGATCAAGAAGAACAACTCTGATACCCAATAAATCAGCATTGTGACGAATGACTATTAATCCAGTCAAATCTGTCGTTATCTCAACCCTTCGCGCCCCACGTTGGGCGCCAAAAAGAACTGTCGTGGTTTAAACCCAGTCAGGTAATTCGTTCGCTCACTTCCCCCCCTTTCTTGCCCTCCCCCTGCTCTCGGAGGGACAGAGAGGAGAATCAAAAGAATGCAACTCCCACGGGTTGAGATAAGAACAGTTTAGTAACTAAGGTATAACACAAATCACTACTGCTACCACCAATGATAATAATGATAAAGGAAATAACAAGGGAACAGAATACAACACCTCACCACCCGCTGACCGATAACTCGCCCCCCAAGCCCGACCAAGCTCCGACCGATACCTCCTCCAACCCTGCAGTCTCCCAGCCCTTCCGGCTAACTCCCAGTTACATCCTGGGCATGACATGCTGTGGTATGGAATAGCTCTTTGGTCAGTTTGGGTCAGGTGTCCTGTCTCTGCTTCCTCCCAGCTTCCCCTCCTCCCTGGCAGAGCATGAGGCTCACAGAGTCCTTGGCCAAACCAAAACATCTCTATCAGCTCTGTTCCCGAGCCGAAAGTCAAAACACTGCACTGCACCAGCTACCAAGGAGGAGAAACATGACTGCTACTGCTGAACCCAGGACAGTGACATAGACAATTTAGTTTTCCCTGGTGTGCTTTAGGATGATCTGGTCATGCACATGGCATGTGGTTGCTCATTTCCAGCTTATTTCCATTTACCTCACCATTTAAGTAAATAGGACTTCAGATGAATGTACAACACCCCTTAATATGAATGGGATGAGCCCTTGATGTGCCCAAATTCTCCTTACCACTGGATGGTCTCAGCACAGTTCATCATTCTCAGTTATGAATTCCATTGCTTACAATTTCCTTCTTTGAAGTGAAATCTCTTGTGAAGCTGAAGCCTTGGATGGGATTCCCCCTGATATTCAAAGGTGAATGAGGCCAGGAGCAACCTGATGTTACCATGAAAACCACAGGACATAGTTATTGTTCAGAAAGGACATCTAGGAGGTCACTGTTCTTATGCTGAATGTTGTAACAGGTTAGACATCTTTGTGACAATAATTAGAAGAGATATTTCATCAGCCTGTGTGCATAGAATCACAGAATCATAGAATAGTTAGGGTTGGAAACCACCGTATGATCATCAAGTTCCAACCCGCCTGCCATGGGCAGGGACACCTCACATTAAACCATGTCATCCAAGGCCTCATCCAACCTGGTCTTGAACACTGCCAGGGATGGAGCAATCACAACCTCCCTGGGCACCCTATTCCAGTGCCTTACCACACTAACAGGAAAGAATTTCCTCCTTAGATCCAATCTAAAGCTAAACCTTTATTAGTAATTTAGGCTGTTGTGACTCATGGGTTCTCATTCAGGGGCCAGCAATATACAACCAAGGTTCACGTGTCTTAGAGCCCTGAACTGTAGCCAAAACTGTGACAAACACTTATTCCTTAAGTGTTTGTGTCTGTTACCTTTAAAGACCTGCAGGGAGAGATACAAAGGCAACACATTGGTGCAAGTGAAGAACTTCATCTGATGAAAATAGGCTGGAAGCTCTTGGAGATTCAGGAGAGACATTCTTGTTTGGAATCTAGGAAGATGCCTTCAAGAGATAATCCCCTTGATTTGCTGTGCAGATATCCAGTGTCATCTAATGTGGAAGAGAATTTACAGCTGTAAGAGGTGACCCCCTTCCACAGGTACGTGAGACCATACCATGAAAGGTCCAGGTTAGCCATGCTCTGGTAGAAATCACTGCAGCAACTGGGGAGGCTGCTCAGAATAGTGCCAGGTAAAGATTTGCTCCTCTGTGTTGGTTTTAAAGAGATGAAATATTCTTGCTGGGATGTACTCATAGAATCCCAGCCTGATTTGGGTTGGAAGGGAGTTTAAAGCTCATCCAGCTCCAACCCCTGACACGGGCAGGGACCCCTTCCACTAGAGCAGCTTGCTCCAAGCCCCTGTGTCCAACCTGGCCTTGAACACTGCCAGGGATGGGGCAGCCACAGCTTCTCTGGGCACCCTGTGCCAGCACCTCAGCACCCTCACAGGGAAGAACTTCTGCCTAAGAGCTCATCTCAGTCTCCCCTCGGGCAGGTTAAAGCCATTCTCCTTGGCCTGTCCCTACAGGCCCCTGTCCTCACAAGGACAGATGAACCTAGCCACTGGCCCTGAAATAGTGGCTTGGTTTGTGTCACATCGAATCCTCTCTGCTGCTGTAGCCATTGGTCTCATCAAACTGTAGGTACCAAAATGGGATTGAGTGATACAAATGAATCTGCTCAGAGGTGTTTGGGGAAGCTGGGATGCTCTCACTTCAGAAGGGGCCTCCTCTTTCCTTGGGCTGTGTAAGAGGGCAAGCTTGGAGCAGATGGCCACAGAGCAGTCCATTCCACTGTAGCTAGCTCATGACTCGGAGGTTATGTGTGGGGCTGGTGGTTGGGTGCTATATTGGGGGTGTCCTGAACTCCATCATTCAGATGACCCTCATCATCAGGCTGCCCTTCTGCAGCTCCAATGTCATCAACCACTTCTTCTGTGATGTTCCTCCTCTCCTGGCTCTGTCCTGTGCCAGCACGTACATCAATGAGATGATCCTCTTCTCCTTGGCTGGTGTCATTGAGCTCAGCACCATCTCTGCCATTCTGGTCTCCTACGTCTTCATCTTCTTTGCCATCCTGAGGGTCCGTAATGCTGAGGGCAGGCAAAAAGCCTTTTCCACCTGTATGTCCCACCTGATTGTGGTGACCATGTTGTATGGAACAACCATCTTCATGTATTTACGCTCTAGCTCTAGTTACTCCCTGAACACTGACAAAGTGGTCTCTGTTTTCTACACGGTGGTGATCCCCATGCTCAACCCCCTCATCTACAGCTTGAGGAACAAAGAGATGAAGGATGCTCTGAGGAGAACAGCAGAAAGAATCACAGTGAGGCTTTGAAAACCCTGATCCAGGGATTTGGGTAACATGAGGCTTTGTTCCAGAGGCTGTGGAGCCTCCACCCATGGCCATGTTCAAAAGCTGCCTGAATGAGGCCAGGAGCAACCTGATGTGACCATGACCAGTCACTGATGTGACAATGACCAGCAGGACATAGTTACTGTTCAGAAAGGACATCTAGGAGGTCTCTGTTCCTATGACTGGCAAATTATACACATAAACACTTATGTATGTGTGTATATATATCACAACACAATATTAAATGCATCCTAACCTATATATTTATATATAACTCAATATATTCTTGTGTTAAATGTGAACACCAACACACAACAATACTAGTTTTCCTTGCCTCAGTTTAGTTGGGGTCTCAGTGATTTATGGGCTGGGTAGAGGAGGCAGCTCCTATGCAAAGCTTTTCCCAGGAAGGATGGAAACCCAAGATCTAAATGGATGAACTGATGGTTTAATGCAGTTATGGAGCAATGGGATATTGTGCATGAGCCAAGTGAATGAAATGCAAATTCTTCATCAGGTCTGTGTTTGGAACCACGCTGCTGAGTTAAATCACAGTCAAATTGGGCTTGCCACCTCTATTCAGGCAGCTGTAGAACTTCACCCTTTCATTTTCCTCATCAAGTTCTGCCTTTCTCAAAGCCTTTAAGAGGAGCTCTAAGGAGTTTTCTAATTTATACCCAGAGTGGTTTGTTAAAAACAAAGGCAAGAATGTTATCAGTAGAGTTTGCCGCAGGAGAGTTGCACTTTGGTTTGAGGCAATGGGGATTAAAGTAACCCAAAGCAAACATGGAAACACACCAACACCCTGAAACAACAGGGAAATCGAAGGTAATGAAGAAAACCAACCAAAAGTCCTTATTTCCTATGCAAGAAGTCATTCCTGGCACAAATTGCAGCTCCCCCATATCTTGGTTGCTATAAAATCGCAATGCCACCAGGGAAAACAGTCACCACAGGGTTTCCCCACACACCCAAAACTTCCCTATTTCTTTAGCAGCTCATCACTCCAAGGTGTGAGATGTCCCTGATCCATCTGTGTTAACAAGCTCCTCTGGGAATGGATTTGGAGCTGATGGGCTGATAGGAAGGAGAAGGCTTGGCTGAGTCCTGGATGGGGATTTTCCACCTGTGGTCACTTGAGCTGTGGCATCACCAGTGGGAAAAACACTCTTTAATCCAGGGGAAAATAACCCAAACAAGGATGTGACCCTGGCCAGCACTAAGAAATAAATCTTTATTCTTTTTTTATACTTTATAATTTACATTGTATTTGTTATATATATTTAATTTATAATTATATATATATTATCTATATATTCTTATTCTTTACTCTTATTCTTTGTTCTAACTGTTTACTAAAGTTACGAACCTGAAGCTGACTCTTACTGTTGCCAGCAGGACATGACAGTACCCACATATGCCTGCTCTTTAGATGCCCATTTCCCCTTCAAAGCTGCATTTCATCTACTTCTGAACAAAATCCACTCCTTTTCCTGTGTGATTTTTGTTCCTTCTTGGTACCATTGCTCTCTGTGGTCACCTCCAAGAGGTGCAAAATGGTCACAGGAGTCCCTTTAGGTATCAAAAGGCAGAAGAGTTGAAATAAGTGGCTAGAAAATCATGGATCAGGATTTCTTATACAACACCACCATCTATTGGACGTTGCTGGGAATATCCACTTCTTTTTATTTAAGATAAAAACTTTTTCTTACGTGCTGGGAAAGTTTGATTAGCCAAGTGGCTTGTTCTTGCCCAGGAAACTGAGAAATAATAGATAAATAAACTAAGACCGTCATGTTGCCTCTACAGTTGGCTGATCCTATGTAGACAGTTTATTTCCTGACCCTGTTAACAGCTTGAAATGAAGTCCCCTCACATTTAGAAATGATGTTTTAAACCCCACTTTTCCTAAAGCAGTTTTTGGCTGAGGCTTCAGGTTGTATGAAATGTAGATTATTGTAGAATCATAGAGTGGTTTGGGTTGGAAAGGAGCTTGGTTCCAACCCCCTGTCATGATCAGGGACACTACACATTAGACCATGTCACCCAAGACTTTGTCCAGCCTGGCCTTGAACACTGCCAGGGATGGGGCAGCCACAGCTTCTCTGGGCACCCTGTGTCAGTGCCTCAGCACCTTCACAGGGAAGAGCTTCTTTGTTATCTGTAACCTGAACTCCCCCTGTTTCATTTTGAACCCATCACCCCTTTTCCTGTCACTCCAATCTCTGATGAAGAGTCCCTCTCCAGCATCCTTGTAGCACCATTCAGACACTGGAAGCTGCTCTGAGGTCTCCACGCAGCTTCTCTTCTCCAGGCTGAACAGTCCCAATGTTCTCAGCCTGGCTCTGTATGGGAGGTGCTCTAGCCCCTGATCATCCTTGTGTCCTCTTCTCCTCCTCTGCACTTGCTCCATGTCCTTCTGTTGTTGAGGATATCAAATTCATTCTGCCTTTTAAATGTTTTTTTTTCATTAAATAGCCTGTGCTATCCGTACACAATTTGAAGTGCAAATTCATGGTGTTTTAAATGATTCCCTTCTCCATCAGTTGTTTCCTCTAGATCCACAGATCCCTCTCAGAAAGCGTCCGCATTGCACATCTTTACTCCTGACAAAGCCATCCCAGATTTTGTAATGAAAGCAAAGGAAAACACATCAGATCTCAAAACAGGTTTATCCCATGGAGATGAAGGATTTAATTTGTTGTTGTTGATGTATGTAAATCACACCCATCACCACCTAAATAATCCCAGGGGAGCAGCTGGGCTTATTTAGGTGCTCTCTGATGCTGAATTAAATGGGTGAGGATGCCTATACAGTAACCAAGTTCCTGGGTTACTGGTGGATCCATCCTGGTAACCTGCATGGGGTAGGAAACCCACCTTTTGTTACAGAACATTAAGTGCTAGGCAGGAATAAACAGGGTCATTCCCTACTAGGGCTTTTTGGGAGCAAGGATGTGACTTCTGTCCTTTCCTTGAAGGCCCTGCAGCCCCCTCTCATCTTTGGGAGCACAGTAATGGAAGCATTTCTGATTGAAAAGTAAAGGCAGCTGCATCAAAATGAAAAGGAAGTTGTGCTTTTATTTTTTCCTTCTAAGTAGCAGCATGTGTGTGTATATAAAAACTACACACTTTCTATTGACTTAAAGTGTTGTAACTGATTGATAGATAAAACCTCACATTCTTAACATTATTGAGGGATTTGGGCCTATTCAGCATTTCAATTTAAAGACATAAATCAGGCAAACTGCTTATAGGTTTACTATGGTTGAAGATAATTATATGTCCCCCTCTGAGTTTATTCTCCTGGGCTTCACAAACAGGGAAGACCTGCGGGTGATGTGCTTTGTCTTATTCCTTGCCATCTATGTTGTTACCTTCATAGGAAACCTGGGAGTAACTGCATTAATCAGAATGGATTCCTGCCTACACACCCCCATGTACTTCTTCCTAAGCCACTTGTCTCTCCTGGATGTCTGCTACTCTTCTAACATCATCCCTCAAGCCTTGCTCAATGTTCCAGTGGAGAAGAAGGTGATTTCCTTCATTGGATGTGCCACCCAGCTGTTCTCCTTTGCAACCTGTGCCACAACCGAGTGCTACGTGCTGGCTGCTAAGGCTTATGATTGCTACATGGCCATTTGTAACCCCCTTCTCCTACTCCATGGTCATGTCCCAAAGGCTTTGCATTGGGATGTTGGCTAGTGCCTGCTTAGCTGGCGTGATCAGCTCTACCATACACACGGTTTCCATATCTCGTCTCCCATTCTGTTGTTCCAAGATGTTCCATCACTTCTTCTGTGATGGACCACCACTGCTAGCCCTCTCCTGCTCTGACACCCCTGCCATCGAGGTGATGGTTGGCTGCCGTGGTGGGGTTCAAGGTACTGAGCACCGCGGTCTTCATCCTCATCTCCTACTTGTTGGTCCTTTCCACTGTCATGCGAATGCAGTCTGTGGTTGGTCAACACAAAGCTTTCTTCACCTGTGCCTCTCACTTCATCTCCATTGCTTTGTACAATGGCAGCTCCCTCTTCCAGTACCTGCTCCGCGTCTCCAGCCATTCCTCGAAGCATGACGAGGGGATCTCCATGCTGTACTCTCTGGCTGTCCCCATGCTGAACCCACTCAGCTACAGCCTAAGAAATGTGGATATGAAGAATGCCATGACGAAAGCAGAAAGTAGAGTCCTCTCCTCTTTGTCCATTCATGATTCCTAATCAGCTGAAAGGAGAGGGCTACCCTGCCCTGGTGAGGAGAAGAAGGTAGCTGGATATTGCACGTTCAAGGATGGCTGGATATTGTACCTTGAAGAGGATGGTTGGGTATAGCACCTTGATGAGGATGGGTGGATATAGCACCTTCACAAAGCAGGGACTAGGCATACTTGGAAGCATGACACCTGGAAAACATGCTACTCCTTAAACCAAGGCTACATTCTGTGCTGGCATGGACAGGACTTTCTCTGGCTGCAGCCTGAGACCTGACAGTGACTGTGTATTGGAAAGAAAGTTGTTGTCCAATGTGAATGTTACATAAATATTACTTGAAATTAATATATTTTATTATTTAAATGCTATTAAACATAACAATAGACTTTATTTCAGGCTTCAGAGAGCAAAAAGGGAGAAGGTGGTGGCTTTGCCCTGCTGGCATCAAACCAGCTGGTATCTGAGCTCATGTTTTATATTAACAAATGATTTTTGATTTTATTTCTGGTTTTAAGGAAATATTAACTGATATTTCCAGGTATTTCAACTCCAGCCCATAAGGTTTGGTCACGTGAAATGACAGAGGGGATATTGAGATGAGCTCTTAGGCAGAAGTTTCTCCCTGGGAGGGTGCTGAAGTGCTGGCACAGGGTGTCCAGAGAAGCTGTGGCTGCCCCATCCCTGGCAGTGTTCAAGGCCAGTTTGGACACAGGGGCTTGGAGCAAGCTGCTCTAGTGGAAGGTGTCCCTGTCCATAGCAGGGGTTGGAGCT